GGTCCCCCGTTGTGATTTATGATGCACACGGCTATAGGTAACCAGTGATGGAACAGTGCCCAGTAGTCCAGTTCTAAATATCTGACTGGAGTAGTCCAACCATCATTCTTTGAGTGAAGCTAGTCCAGTTATGGTTAACTGTAGTCCACTCCCCAATTTGCTCTTAGCAGCCGAACCCAAACTGAACCATTTTGGATAAAATGTTCCCAACCGAAGGCTGTGAGAAACTTTTAAATTTGGATTAAAAATTCTGTACTAGTTTCTTATCACCATGGAAACGTGGATGTTCTGCCTCGTTGTTCATCCCGAAGTTGTCGTGCTACCTGAGCAAAAGAGGAGGAATGATCTCTCATATCTTGGATGGTATCGTCAAGTTGGCCAAGACGTTCCCCCCGTTCCAATGCAGCCTGCACAGAGGGAAGACAAGAATATCAATGCTTAACTAATATACCTGTCCACTTAGCATGTCATGATACCTGTTCACTTACTAGTCAATCAATACTGGACTTAGATTATGTTCTCCTAAGTAGCCAGTCAATGGCAAGTGCACCCAAGCAACCACGGCAGCAGTGCACCCTCTACCACCTCAGAGGGTTTAAAAACTGCACTTGTTCCCTGGCCAGTGGCCAGTGGCCAGCGCCAGACTCTAAAAAGAATTGTGGTTTTTTTTGGGGGGGGGGGGGGGTGGCATTTGTGGGGCATGGAAAAAAACATTTTTTTGGGGGGGGGGGGGCAGTCCAAAAAAGGCAGTCCAAACTGGAGGAAGGAAAAAACTGGGGGGGGGGGCAAATGCCCCACCCCCTGGCTGTGGGAGGGGAACATATTCCAAAATCCAGTCTAGAGCCAAGACTGTACATTAGATGGACGATGTCAGGAGACTTACTCAGATTGAAGTAAATATTTTTAAAAGTATAATCTTGGGTGTACTGTTATGAAAATACATCTTATTTCAGTTCCTTAACTAAGTTCCAAGATAAACTAAGTTCATCTGCCTCACAGAAAATTCCTTCTCTGCTTTTTTTTTTCATTCTCAGTTGTGGCATTGCAATGTATGCTTTATTTGCTAGTATTTGGTTGTATTTTCTATATTAACTTTGTGTTTCCTGTAGTGTACATGTACAGGTTCTGATCCTATGATGTGAGCCACCACTGCAGTAGGCAAGCGTTTGGTTCGCAACCACGTTGTGTGCTGTACACTAGACAGCAGGGCTTATTATCATGTCAAATAATTGAACATTCTTTATCAAATGGCATAATGGCCACTACCTAATTAAGCCATGTACAGTTGCCACAACTGTGCAATCCAAGCACAGTTTTTGCCATCCGTCACAGCTTTGAAGGCTTACCTTATATTACATGTACCTACTGTGTGCAGTACTATACAATCTTTGCCTACTACAATGGCAACACTGACTTTCCGGTGCCCAGATTTAGGTCAGGATGTGAGAGAGGCCTATTTTTAATTTGTATTTGTAATTTTATTAGCCAAATCAAGCATTAGCTTTATTTATATTTTAAAAAAACTTCTCCTAACCCTAACCCCGTAAGGATTCCTCAGGACTACCCTGCTAAATCCAACAGAATCCAATGGTTACTTCCTCAGGCTGCTCAATCCAACAGAATCCAACTGTGCCTAATTTTTTAGTTGTCTGCTGGATCCAACAGAGTCCAAATTGGCGTTACTTATCAGTACCCAACAGAATCCGACTCTGAATATGTACATGTACATTTGTACAAGGGGTTTACTGCTCAATCCAACAGGCTCCAACGGGTATATGATATACATGTAGTTGGATTCTGGCAGGGTAAGCTTCCACACTTCTTTGCCAGAAACCTTACTGAATCCTTGTAAAACCCCCACTTTGTAGGAAACCAACATTTTCATATTCCTTGAACTTAAAGTTTCAAGGGGCAACGAGACCCGTAGTGACTGGGTAGCACCTTCCTCGATCCTGCGAATTCCTCCAGAATCTCCTGCGTGGCAGATTATGAAGAACATGTGTGGGTTAGGGGCCATTCAAAATTTTCGATGTTTTAAATTTTTTGATTTCTTTTTTTCAATTTGTTTTGACCCACCCACCCACCCCAATTTTCAATCTTAAAATATTGAACGAATGTCCAGTTCAGTGACGGCAGAATGCAGCTGCAGTCCGTATACAGTACCTTTGCAACAACACGGCCCACTGGCATTCCCGTACATATAGGAATTCAACTGGAAACACGTAAAACTTGTCCATTTCAAACGGTAATAATAAGTATCAGCTCGCTTTAAAAAAAAACCAACGTCTTGGCGTAAAGAGGCATTATGACTCCCATTATTCATGAAGTTTATTCAGAAATTTCCGTCGTTTTTGATAGGAAAAAAATAATTTCAACTCTCAACTCACGCTTTCCAGCACGTGTGGGTGCTGCCATGTTCACTGCAAGCAGATGAATACCATGCACATGCATGCAGGTTGCCTATTAAAGTACCGGTAGTCTTGAACACAAGTAGGTTTATTTTGTTGTCGCGATTCGTAACCGTTTTCCTGGTATTCCGCCACATTTGAACGGCGCACTGATTTTACATATGCTTTAAGTCTAACTTAACTGGTACCCATGCATATGGTGCTCCGATGGACGTATACACAATACACGGTACATTGTACATGTACCGGATGCATACTGTACCCGTACGGTACGGGCAAAGGGTGTACGAATCTGAACACAGAGAGTTGAATTGGCAAGTCAAAAGAGCTATTTTCTATCTTTTTAATTGAAAAAAGTGAATTTCAATTTTAAAAAATTTCAAAAAATTAATTTGACCCACCCACCCACATTTTCGAAATTTAAAAACATCGAACATTTTGAATGGCCCCTTAGGGGTTTTATATTTGACAGTTGTGTGTCCACAGATTTGTACACAGATTCAAATTTTTGTTCAATTGTACATGTACCTACCTTTCTTGGGTCACTTGCTGATTTATGAGCTGCCATTTTTTCTCTAACATCTCGTTCAACCTCAAACTTGCCAACTCGATCTAAAGAAACAAGCGGGAGACAGAGTCAACTAAAACAAATTCCGACTTTGGATTTGGTATGGTGACAGTGCCAATTGCTATTATGTCAACACTGGGAATATGTCCCACTTGTAAGATGAAATCAAGTCGTTAGACACTGTCGGATCATTACGTGTCAAATCACCCAATAAAATTTAAGTTTAAACCCCATCCCCTTCAAATTTAGTATATGGGGCAATTTAGGCTAAACAAACTGAAATTTTAAGTTTAAGTGCCATCGGACAAATGCTTTTCGCGCTACCGCCCGCCATTGTTTAGCAATTTTGATCAACATGGGCATGGCTGCCAATTTTCCAATGACCATATCTCCATAACCTGTGGGCCAAATTTGTTAATCTTGGTTTCTTTTGAAAGGCTACATCATAAGAAATCCAACTTTTACCATTGTTTTTCATGTCCGGGATATTTGAAGTATAAGGACCTTTTGACTTTGGAATTTGGCCTTGTGGATCACCCGACCTTGAGACGAACTTGGGTGAAAATTAAACCCCACCATGTTTTCTACAATACATGTATATCCAAAACTTGGGGGTATAATATTTTTTGTTTGGTTGTAATATGTTTTGTTTGGTTTCAAGCTCATCTCAATACTTGTTGCAAAATGTGATATCCCTATGCAGTGTACTAGTGGATTTAAATCAGGGATTTTTTGTCCCTGAAATGTGTTCATGTATAGGATTATCACATTTTGCAACAAAAATGCCAACTTTGACATGAGCTAGAAACCTAACAAAACATATTATACCCCCTAATTTTTGGATATTTTGTAGTAAACATCTTGGGGTATAATTTTCCTCAAAGTTCGTCTCAAGGTCACGTGATTCACAAGATCAAATTCAAGTTTAAAGTAAAGGTCAAAAGGTCATCATACTTCAAATTACTCTGACATGAAAAGTAATGGTAAATTTGGGTTCCTTATGATGTTCTCTTTACAAAGCAACCAAGATTAACCACGGATCCTAGACACCAGGATAAACGACTGTTCTCAGCTCCAGTACAAAATGCACTGAGCGGACTTGCCTTAATAATTGGTTAGACGCATGATAACGGGCCCGTTATATTAATACCCGTTGGCGCGTAATCGCGAATTTTCCAGATGTGCCATTGTGTTGCATTTTTGCACGACATCTAAAACGGAAATATTCATAAAACTGTAAGTAAAACTACTTCTTATTTAAGATATAATTGTTCCAAATTATTTAAGAAATAAATACTTCAGGATATAACAGATGGTATTTGTCGTCATGGATGAAGTATTTACCCGGGAATAAACGTCAAATTTTAAGGAGAACACCGTTTACCCAAATTTCGTTTTTAATGAGGCTTTTATTAAAAAGTTTTAGAGAGATGTGATGCCGAACCGATGAAAACAAAAGCGACATTTCATTGTTCATCTTAAAGCTAAAGATATTGTGCTCGGCATTACCATGGTTATGTAGTTATCACTTATCACTTATCAGAATTCAGTAATAAAGACCAAAAACGTAGACTCATGAATATTCAAAATATAATTCGCTGGCTTGACAGACTTCGAGGCCAGATCGGGCGCAGAGCCTTGCAAATCTGAAAGCCACCGCGCGCAGTGGTCTTTGTTGAAAAGTATTCATGGTATTTGCCACCAGTACAGGCCGTTATCACGCGTCTAACCAGGAGTTGGGCCGAGTCATTTATCCTGGTGTCTAGGATCCGTGGATTAACTAATTGGGCCAACAGATTACAGAGATGTGATCTTTTGAAAATTGGTGGCCACGCCCATTTTGACCAAAATTGCCAAACAATGGGGGGGAGGGGGGCAGTAGCAAGAAACCCATTTGTCGGATGGCGCTAAAACTTAAAATTTCAGCCTTTTCAGCCTAAATTACCCCACATACTAAATATGAGCCAATTGGAAGGGGGTGGGGTTTAATCCATTGGGTGATTTGACAGGGAATAACCTGTCCTACTTGCGCAGTATCGTGTTTACATCCAGCATCCAACAGGTCTAATAACTTGACTAACATGAATTCGGACAGTTATTCATTACTGCGACCAGCAAAATGCATATGCATTACGTTTCCATTGAGAGGGCCAATGATAACCTGTGGTATCGCTTGGGAAGCATCCATTATTAGAGTGGGGATACAGTTTGCAGCATGCTTGATCAATGCATGCTTTTGCAAACATTTGCAAACATCGGAAAACAAAACTACCAAATTTTACGAAATACCTTACTAGGATGTTGGTAAATGAAGGTCTAAAGCATTCTGTAAAATTATGGCACCTGGTGTGAAGTCATTTTCAAGAAAAGTGTTATTTTGTATAAATTTCCAACGGTGGTCAGCCGACCACCGTTGGAAAATCTAAATATTTTTCAACTACTGCTCAAAATTTACCATTTTTTTTTCAGTCCAAATTTTGTTTGCTATTAGTTACATGTTCATGAACGGGTGAAGGCTAGCTAGATTGGTTTCCTTACCCTACAATTTTCCGGCATCTACAAATTGATTCATTTCATTTTAGTGGAGTCAGGGAACCAGACTACTTGAACATTTTTTTTTTTTTTCTTTGTTTTTCCAGCATTTTCGAACACAAACCTTCAAACTTGTCAGTGTAACAATATTTTATCTATTATACTAACCCCTCAATTCAATCATTTCTGAAATTTATAGCAAAAGCCAATGATGTACATTCCCTTTAATATACATATTCATATCCTTCCGATTCTTAGCCAATCAAAGTGCTCCAACCAATTTTGGTAGCATTTCCCATGTCTTGTGAACAAACAGGGTTGCAGATTATTCATGTTGGTAATTGGGAGCGACGTACACGCATATGGGGCCGAGGATGTACGAATCGTTCCCGCGTGTTATTATACCGGGTGCTTCACTTAACTCCGGGACGGTATGCGGTTGTCAACGCTGGTAGTATGGTGCGGTACAAATATAAGTGGCGGCGCAGGAAGACTGAACCCGGCCACTTACCAACTTGATTTCAAGTCTGGGAATTAAACTATTAAGAATCTAACTCTACAGCAGAGATGATCAATGAACAATAACATCAATTCTATACAATTCAATCTGAAGTTAACATCCATATGTATCTACATGCTAAATAAGAACATCTGTCATTATTTTGAACAAAAATCTAATTTCTCACAAATTACAATGCATTTGAGTTGACACAAATACACCTCGTCATAATGATTTAACTATCATTATGAGCCTCTCATTTAACACAAAGATTTATTTCTCCCTTAACGTGACGAACTGTGCTCACATACATGTAGCAGTTAGCATCAATGGGTAATGATGGCATTTGCTTCTTTTTCTCAAGTGAGGTCATTTTTCCTAAATTGTAATTTGCAGCTGTATCCATGTAAATGGTGCATGCGTGTAGCTACCAGTAAAAAATTATAGATGCAAGAACAATGACAAATTCTACATTGTGTACAAATACATCTGAGTTTACCAATTCATTATTTTATGAAAACTGTTTTTGTTTTTTCAAAGCTATTTAACTGTACATGCATGTACATGTGCAGGTACATGCATGTACAGGTACATCATGTATGTACACATTATACACTCTTCCAACACTGAATTCTCTTAAATGTTGCTGTTGGTATTTTTCAGGAAACCATGATTATTGAGGGCAGTTTTTTACATGTAAAGCATGATCCTACGTTATGAACAACTTACAATGACTTATCAAATGGCATTATTAGGTTTTGGCAACACCTGTTATGTGATATCTCAGTGATGTCTATATAATATGCAGACAAGTACACACATTATTATCAGGCTCTTGGCATGGCCATATGGTTGGACAGGCTGTTCATGCATCATTGTGTAACTAATGCTTATGACAGACCAAACCTTTTCTACAGTAATTACAGTAGAACACGCCTACACCAGTACATACATACATACGCACTGGCATTTGAAGAGATGAGGGTTATAAGAAATGAGAAGCAGTGTGTATCATTTGTATGTGGGCACAATTAGTATGTTCCTTTTTTCTGGTGGCAATTCACTTTATATACTTCATTTCTGTCACATGTTATTTCGTAGAAAAGACTGCTTATCAAGTCTGACATTAATTTTTTCACACCATAGGTACTGTGTACAAACAGATTGTACTTGTATGGGTGGGAATGACAACCATATTTATTGGTGATTCAGAAAATACCCATTCTTATTGGTCAAGAGCCTGTCACATGGGTGGTTTTAAATGGTTGATAAAACGGCGACTGGTTTTAAACACTTTTTTTCCCGGCACCGCTGCGTTTCGCAATCTCCTTATAAGATTTTGAGCACTTCTCACATGAGGCACATACCGTAAACAAAGCTACTAGGGTGTTTCACAAAACATAATAAAGTAAAATTGTTGAACAAAATCGTTGGAAATTTGAAATGTTTGACTTGTTTTGTCTTTTTGAAAGGGTTCAGCTCAGGCCATTATCCGTGTCCTGGCCCGTAGCTGGTTTTAAACGTACATGTACTCGTTCCAATTAACTAACCCCCTAGTACTTCCTCAGGACTACCCTGCTAAATCCAACAGAGTCCAACCGGACTTTCCTGCTCAATCCACTGTGCCTCATTTTCAGTTGTCTGCTGAATCCAACTGAGTCCAACTTGGCGTTACAATAAAATGCGGTTCAGTTGCCAGCTGAATCCAACATTTTGCATGAGAAATGTACACAAGGGGTTTACTGCTCAATCCAACAGTCTCCATCGGGTATGTGACATAGTTGGATCCTGTTGGATTCAGCAGGGTTAGGGTTAGTATTGTTAAGTATAGATGAGTAGTGATGTAGGCATCTGCTGCTGATCAGTTTGTAACTCAAAATCCCTGAACTTTTAGACAGTCCCTGGCTGTTTGATGCATACAAAATTAAAAAGATATTAATATTAATAATAATACCGGAGTCTTAGATAGCGCACGTATCTACCAACAATTAGGTACTCAAGGCGCTGGAAATTATGTCTATTATTAAAGACAGGTAAATGAAGTTTATGAGAAATATGAGACCAATTATGTAGCACATTATGAGGGTTTACAAGGTGCTGCGGCGCATATTGTAGCCACTGCCAGAAACCGGGGCAACCCCTTCTCTTAGCGAAAAGTGTTACTGGGTTCTATTAACGTGCATTACACAACACACGGGACCTAACCGGTACGTGTGGCTTTACGTCCCATCCGAAGGATGAGGCAATAATGGTAAAGTGCCTTGCTCAAGAGCACAAAGGACCATGTTCCCACAGTCAGGATTCGAACCCATGTACCATGGCACACGAGTTAAACACCATAACCATTGGAGCACAGCACCCCATATTCCAGATACAATGAATGTTATCACCCTAACATTTCTCTGCTTACCTTTAGCATAGTGAGATCTCATCCGTTCTCCAGGAATAAATCCCGTTTTCTTTTTACCTGCCTTAGCTGTTGATTAAAAAAAAAACTTTTTATAACATGATATTCACGATGTAGGATGGGACACTGTATTATCGCAGTATAACGTTTCCCGATCAGAATAGAGATTGCTCACTAACCTTCTCAAATTGTCAAAAATTTGTGATGTTTAACTAACTTTTCACTTTGAAATAAAAATTCTGGCAGTGGTTTCATTTAATTTCCTGTACCATGCCTGTGAAAATATGTGCACACAGTATGCGAGCGGAGGTAGACTCTCTGTTGTCGCAGTAGGGACGGATGCTTTCTACAATGACCTGAATTTTTGTATTCATGATTATTGTTGGACCAACACATCCCCTGGAAAATGTCTGTTAATTGCCTAAAAAAGTTCTACCCGATGTAAGACGATTAGGCCTGCATAATTATTTCTTTTACAGCCCGGCCCCGAAAGAAAAAAATATCATGGAGACAAATCTACTGATTGCCAACTGTACACTTATAGTGCGACGTATATTTTTTATGTGTACGCTAGTCCTTGTTTGGATTCCATACAAGTTTTTACGATTTGGTGGTGGAAATATCGTTCTTCGACATCATTGGCCTTTGCAGCAGCGAAATGGGAACCAGACAATGAAACTTTCATGGACTCATCATCAGAGATACATTCTGTAAATGTTAAAAGATAGCGGGTACCTTTTGGCAGACACCATACGGCAAAAATTTGCAAGATAAAGAAAAAGTACAAATCTTTTAAAAATCACCAAAATTTACCAAAAGACGCGACATTTGTATTATACAATTTTTTATACAACTTGGCAGAAAGGCCTTAGTTACCAATGAACAGGATAACATCACCGCTAGAGAGTGTACTGGCAACGTAAAAAAGATAAATTTCTGATTTCGGGATAATAGACTTGCTGCGATAATATAGAGTCGGACTATACCAAAACACAGGCAAGTCAAACTGCAAGAAAAACACCTCAGGAAACAGGGTTGGGCATACATTATACATGTAGTTATAGTTTGCACACGGAGACTTTGAATCCTTAATTTCCTCTCCCAGCAGACATAAAGGAAGAGTATTCAAACACCATTTCTAGCTGGCAAATTAAGTCATGTATGAAACTACAATGCACATACATGTACGTACATGTATGTACTTTTTTCAAAATCAGAATCCTTCTGGGGCCTTAAGCACAGGCAAAACTAGAACCACTGCTTAATTCTTCCCTGTTGCCTACATTACCAATCCCTTGATTTCCCCTTACAAGTAATACGATAACGAAGCATATCCCCTCAAATGTTACAGATGTACTGTCCATGCTATTTTGTGTTTCACCCTCAAAAATTGATTTCTTTTAATCAAATTGCTAATTTTATAGCAATACAAGTGATACACTTTTGAATGAGACTCTGAAAGAAACAAATTGTCCAATATTTAGTCATGGAATAATTACTGTACAAAATTGTTATAACCTGCAAGCCAACAATAATTCAGCTGGGGGCAAAGTTGTCATAATGGTCACAATTTGTTAGAAGTAAAAACCAGTTTAGTTAAAGAGCATGGACAGTAGGGGTACTTCTTTATTTTAAACATCTTTAGATATGATGACATGTTTCAGTATACAAATATTGAGTGGCTCAGAGTGGAATGCGAGGAATATTATCGCAAGGTAAAATCTGGCTTTTCTATTTCACAAGGCAAAGCCGAGCAAAATGGAAAAGTCCAGATTTTACCAAGCGATAATATTCTTCCCATCTCACAATTTAAAGCCACTCAATATTTGTTTTATGTAACTGACAGAACCTTGTCATTTGATTTACAGTTAAAATAAACTTCTATTTCAATACAAAATTGGTGGGAAATGTGTTTCACTCTTCCAAATCACCCCTTCACGAAATGTTGGAACCCAACTCTGTAGCTACTGGCCCTTGGAAACAATACACGCTACGCGCATGCACACCAGCATGCATTTACACCCAAATACCGCGCCGTGGAACAAAGATGATCTTAAGTGTTGAATAGTAAATCCCATTCACCATGGGCGAATGGGACTTTTTGAGCCCCGGCGTGAATGGGAGCAATAATGAATGTCACGTGATGTGTGTTCCACCAATCAAATGACAAGGATCTATATCAGCTACATTGTACATGGCACTAGCACTAAGGCCAAAAAAAACAAAAAACTTTTGCTTCTGATTACATGCCTTTCAAAAATAGGGTCGGTCGGTCGGAATTTTTTTTTTTTGCCAATTTTTTTTCATACAGATTGAATGGGGTATGTGCGAAGTTTTAGCTTGAACTATTTCCATTGCACTATGAAAGCTATACATAAAATGGCCACAAAAAGTGAATAAAGCCTACCTTACTTATTGTCAATATATTTACGTTCGTTAATTCTTAAAAAATAATGGAAAATTCAGGTCGTTCGCACCATATGCACAATGTTAGTCAAGACGAGAAGCTGGCCAAATCTCCAAAGTGTGTGATGCACTGTGTATGTGTGGCGCGCGGCCGACAGACCTCGATTTTACGGTCAAAAATTTCGGAAACACGCTGCATTGTATCACTCCAAATACGAGTAGTGCGATCTCAAAATGAACTCTTGAACACGGAAAATACATATACACAGAAAAAGCTAGATCAATTCTGTGAATTAACTTGCAAAAATGTTCCTTCTCCATCGGCATGATCAGTGTTTTCTTGGCATTTTTACGATGTCGAATCCGCACCGGCCTGCAATGCATAGCCATGCTAGCGCTATCGATCGCATAGCCATGCACAGACTGGTTACCGCATTTTCATCATGTCTTCTAAATTGGCCCCTGCGCGGGGAGGCGGGAACCAGTCGTTGCTGCATTGAGCTAGGTTTACGCACGTGATTATAGTCACCGTGACATCGAATTGCAAAGTAGTTATATCGCGAAGCGAATTTGTAAAAATAACAGAGGTTTCTTTTGAAAAAAATTGCGAATGTAAGTAAGAAAACAAATACCAGTAAATACAAGCAATTTTTGACGCAAAAGGGTTGTTGAGAGTTATTTTGTGACAGAAAAGACAACAAGATTATATTTTTATTTATTCAATCATTATTATTTTTTTTGCATTGCTGATAAAATTTTTAGGGTCGCAGCCTAAAAATAGGGTCGGTCGGGTAACCGGAAGAAGTATTTTTGGGGGGGGGCCTAAGAATATAGAACAGGCATTACACATAAATGTAAATGTATGCCTAGTAATGCAAGTTGCAAGAGTGAAACCAAAACAACAAAACAACTTTACATGAATGTATGATGTAATATAAGTTTGTGTACAAACAGTAGTCGGGTTGGCATAGTGGTTACTTTGCTCGCCTTTCACCTATAAGGCCCGGGTTCGATTCCTGCCCCAGTCCACATGTGGATTGGGTTTTCAGTCCCTACTGGACGGTCAATATATCTGGCCGCACCTTTCCCGATGCATCAAGACTTAGATGAGAAAACTGTATCATTTTTTGGCAAGTATTCCATTCACTGATACTTACTTCCTACTTTGCTGGCAGTACCGGTAGTCTGCGACTCCCTGCTGTTTTTCTTTGAATACAATGGCTTCTTGACATCTCCCTCCATGGCTCTTTCCTCCATGCTGAACTTTTTTTTGTCCGGCCGAGATGTTTTTTTCTCTTGAAGACTTTTGCGTTGCTTTTCAATCTGCTCGCCACTGCTACTCTTAGAAGGCATCGAGACCATGGATGTTGCCCTAGCCTTGGCTCTCTTGAATGACAGCTGTGTTTTCTTAATGAGTGATAGGCCTTTAGAAGGTGTGGCCTCTTGATCGCTGTCTTCATCCTGGTCTGATGCTGCAAGGTCCTGGGTTGATATGGTAGATGGTTCATGGCCAGCAGATGGTTTAGGAGATCGACACAATGAAGATTCCTCCTGAGCAGCACTTGGTGGATAGACAACCTTGGCAGCCATTGCTGCTGCCACTAACTCATCTATCTCCCTATCCACATCACCCTGTGACATATCATCACTGACTGCTTCATCAAGATTGCTAGTCACCTCAGTCTCAGAAGCTTGACCTTCTGAGGTTTGCTGGAGTGATATACCGCTCTTTGATACATGGAGATCAATGGTAGATGACTGTTCATCAGATGATGGTTCTGCTGACTGTGTAAGCTCATCTGTGCTAGGGCTTTGTTTCACGTTCCTATTTGTGTCGGGTGGTTCTTGATACTGTAGTTCATGTTTATCCTCCACTGTTGACACAGAGCCATAACCCTTGGACGATGGCTCCTGCTCTTCGTCATCAGCTATGATGCATTTTTCCTCACCATCATCTTCTGTAGCATCGTTGTTATTGCAACAGCAGCCACCCATGATGCAATACTCACACTCTCACAAAAGTTTAATGGGTATACATGCTGCATCTACCTTCACATTGGAAAACAATGTCAAAAATACAGATTTATGTTAAAAAGAAAGTTAAATGGCAATTTGTTTGCTTTAAATAGTGGGTTTACATTGTACATTGTATAGGCAGTGGGCCAAAGCCTGTAACGTGCAGTTTCGTCTTAACTTTTTAGTGGCATCTTAATTTCTCGGTTATAAGTAGTTTGGAATATTTTAATTGATATTTTACAATGTGCACATCACATCGTTTGCACAAATTAGAAATAAAGGGGACTGTTTCCCCAATGTAACTGTACCACATGAGGGCGATCGCCATGCATCGCTGCCATTACGTACCAGCCTCGCCTCCCTCGCCTACATTAACCCCTGGCCGTAGGGAGTACGTATACATTTTTGATTTTTTTCAAATTACCGGTTGTTGTGAACAGTGTAAGTGGTCTTGGGGGATCTATTCGGAGTAACTTTCTTTCTCATATGTATTCTCTTTACCAGTTTTTTTGGGCCTTATGTCTTCCAGGGTATGCAAAAATAAATGCATACCGTATGTCAGTTTTATAAATTCCTACAACTTACAAGAGAACGAAAATCCCCTTTTTAGTTTCTGGACTCACCTAAAATAGCTAGCGATGTCATGTGGCAGGATTAATATTAATTTGGAGGAGCATATAGCCCCATAAATGTGGCCAATTTACTGGACTCGACTAGGCCCTTCCTCCGTAAATAAAGCCCACACTTGGAACATGTACCCAGAGATGTAGAACTTTGTCAAATTTGGGTTTTCACATTTAGACTTTATTTGTAGTTAATTTACGCTTTAGAAGCATACTCACTCTCTTTAAAGCGATAGAAAAGTAGTCCCCCTTTTTCAGACATATACTTTTCTTGTAATTTCGTGTTGGAATTTAGATATTGAATTGATGTACATGTACATGTACCCTAATGTGGCGCGGCCCCTAATGTGGTGCACTTTGATTTTTTGCCTGCAGCGCCTAGCTAGAGCAAAGGTTTTAACTGAAATTTCACAGTTCTAAACACCCCCGGGAGTAATTGCAGAATACCCCGCCACTCGGAAATACACCCCTAAAATCTCTAGCTACGAGGTTGGAATCACTGGAAAAGAAACAATTCAAGTCCATGCCAGCTACGCGGATACTGAGTGGGGGTCCATTATTTGAGAGCGAAGCAACACAAAAGGAATGGGAGTTGCTGAAAAAATTCTAAGTCCAAACCAACCACCATGTTGCCGACTACGCGGATACGGAGTGGGAGTCCCCTTGAATATGCTTGAGAATGAAGCAACACAAAAGGAATGGGAGTTGCTGAAAAAATTTGTAAGTCCAAACCAACTACCCTGTTGGCGGCTACGCGGATACGGAGTGGGAGTGCAGTGAAGCAAGATGCATAGTACATACAAGTAGCGCTGAGAAGGTTTATTGAGGGTAATCAACCGTGACTCCGTAGCCGGCTACGAGGTGGATAGATTGAGTGGCGGGGTATTCTGCAATTGTGCCCACTCCCGTTCATAAATCACGAGTTTATGTACCCGTTACAAAGTTAAAAGAAAATGTTAAATTTCGGCGTGATTTTCCGATTGTTTTTTTGAGTGCACAGTGAACCCTTTGAGAAATGTCAGAGTCGGAATCGGCTCCCAGAAAATTCAATGAAAAAAATTACATGTAAAGAATAACTGTGTCACCTTGTGAGGCAGTGCTCCGTAGATTTCAACGTGAAATACATGTTATTCCACTACGCATGTTTTCAAACGGTGTCTTTTTCCTGTGAAACTGCGAGCTTTATTACTTTATTCTCTGTTCCTTTCCCATAATTTTATTTACTGCAGCGACACCGCCATGCCGCCTAGAATAAACCATTTACTGCACAGCACAAGTACACGCTATAGGCACGTACACACTGGTACCTTGCTTTCAACAAACACATGGAACTGGTCGAGTGCTGGAGGAATCGGCTCTGGCGCTATGGCAGACCCGTGTACAAATTTACCCAGCTCTGACTTTGAACGAGTCATGGGTGGTCCGGATCAACTGCTATTATCTAGCAGGTACATGTATAGCAGCCTATTTTTCACCATGTGCACCAAACAGAAAGAAGTTTTAGAAATGAAGCAAAGGAATAATTCATTTTCATGCAACGGTAGATTCGAGACTCGTATGGACTATGGAGCTGGGGATTTTATTACATGTACCCTGGCCCACAGCTCGCGAAATCCAAATCTCAAAACAACGCTGTACCCAGTACACGGGTCCACAGAGCCAACATCTGCAACACTATTGCCGGGGCCATCAGAGTCGATTCCAGCACTCAGAGCCGGTGTGACAAAAAAAATTACTCATGTGAACAACGGACTGCTTTTTCGTGATCGTTCATTTTTCTAATTATCTATGCAGGCCGGAGCATGCGCAATACCACCATGGGGTCCGTATTTTATAAAACTAAATTCACGCTACACCGATTGTCCAAACAGACTAGTATTGGGTTCAATGCACTGCATGCATGCATGCAAGCCTCGTGGCCCGACCGCAGACATCGTAGGGCGGTTTGTCTCTGACTCTCCAGTGATGTATTTGGAGTCTGTGGTTTTTCCTCGCCATTGTTTTGACTAGCAAGATTGAACAATGTCCCAGTGTTGAATTCCTACCTGTGTGTAGCCGATTCTCAGCTCTGGGTTTTGTGCACAGAGAATGGGTAATTTAATCTGGAACTGATTCTTTTGGAGCTGGAACCGAGGATAGCGGGTACCCGGTTTTCCAAAAAATTGGACTCACAGTTCCGGTTCTTGTATTGGCATGATTGGAGCCGGGTAACCTCGCAATACTAATTTCAACGGTCCCAAGTAATAAAGTCAGACGTGTATGAGCTGTCGGGAATGTTTTGAAGTTGTACAATAACGTAAACTATAGTTGGGACCGCAAAATAAAAACAATTGTAGTGGCCCAACTATAGATGGGCCCCACCCATAGCTAATTTCAATGGTCCCAAGTAAAGTCAGATGTGTATCAGAGCTGTAGGGAATGTTTTATAGTCGTACAGCAATGTAAACTATAGCTGGGACCGCAAAATAAAAACAGTTGAAGTGGCCCAACTATGGGCCCCACCCATTAACAGAAGAAAAATAGGAAAACATAATTCTCATCTGCACACAAATTAAAACAGGTCGATTAAATTACTGTCATAAAAAGGCATTCACACCCAATTGTGGTTTAAAAACGATGGCAAAAATATATTTACAATAATTTACATCAAAGAAAAACAAGTCTGAAGTTTTATGGGGAGACCCCTTGGTTTTATAGGGGGCAGGGGGTGCAAAAGCTCATCAAATAGTTCCACTAGGGTTGACGAGTGCATGTATACATGTATGAGTTTAAACCCCAACGTTTCAGTGTTTCCTTGTTCTGGCATAAGGGAGTTCACTCTGTCATGTCTGTAGTTCATTTAAAATAAAGTCATAGGCCACTAAATGATTATCCAGTGGAAAACACGAAACGCCCTTACAATATCCATCGGCAATTCACCAGCTGCACTCGCCACAACCATGCTACAACTAATGCGTACAGGCGCCGGCCTCCGCTCCCAACTATACATGTAGTTGGGCCAGCCCAACTGCAGAACTACATTTGGGACCGTCCCAACTATAGTTGGAACCGATGCCATAGTTGGGGCATAACAGAGATATGGGACCATAGAGCTATATTAAATTACTAGAGCGCTAACTCCTCATTCTTGCGCGCGGAGACGCTTTGAAGCCGCTCTGGGCGCAGACATTTTTAATTTATGTGCGTGTTTGTAGAACACAATCATAATAGATGGATTGAATTTTTAAAGAGTACTCTAAATGCAACGCGCATGAAGTAGAAGATACGCAAACAACTTAAGCGCGTCATGACGGTTCAAAAACCGTCACAGCAAAAGGCATCTGCGGCGGATGCGCGCACAAAAGCTGCATTTACATGTAAATGCATATGGAGCATGTCAGCTGGAGTTACTCAAGCTAGTAGTAGTCAGGTAGTACTAGTATGGGACTAACTTTTTTTTAGCCTAGTTTGATTTGCCATATTTTGAATATATTTTTAGGGTTCCTCCTACGCCCTAGTACTAGTACACAGCCATTCAGAAACATTACAATTTCTGATTACAATTTTTGGGTTGTCATCAGTTCAAAAATTAAATTTTGAAGGAATATCAACTTACCCCCTTCAATTCAGTTCCAAAACACGAGGATCAAGTCTGTGGACGACGTACGTGCGTAGGCCTACACATAATATGTACACGTAAATACGGGGTCCCGTAAATACATATGTAGTGCATGGCACGCACATACAGTGAGCCATGACTTTATAATACTTGATAGCTCTGCGTTAATCTTACACAGCGCCCTCAATGACACTTTTTTGGGTCTTCCACGCCAAAACTTATGCTTCAAATTAAAATGCAGATTCGGAATGAAAGAAACGTATTTCTATTCCGCTCGAAAAAACAACAATTCATCAGGGCAATTAGCTCAGTGGAACCGCTAAAAAAAAATGCTCGAAACAGCTTAGTTTACTTGAAAGTTCCAACATGAAACAGTTTGTAGGCCTATCTTAATGTTGTAAAGGATTATTATGGGAAGTGGATGAAAAAGTGAAGGATATCATTTTGAAGGATAAGCAAAGAACCAATTAATCCTGTTAATTATAACATCAGCATGTGGTTGTTTTGTTACAGATTCAGTATGACTTGACTTTTGGGGGTAAAACAATAAAGAGAAAGAAACAGGCAAATTAGAGAGAAAAAAATCAACTTTCTAATCTCCCCACTAGAAAAAGAAAAAAGAATTGCAAACACAGCTTGATGTAAAGTGAGCTCAGGTACTTTTTTTTTACATTTTGGCTCATTCGACCAGTGACGTCATGCTTGTCGAGGCAAAAGCTGCCACTCAAGCGTTTTTCTCAATTTTGTGTATTATGCGGTTATCCTACCACGCCGTCTTTTCTACCTCCATGGATATAAGTGCGGTGCACTGCGGAAAGTCTGCATCACGTACAAATTGTTTTCTCTTCTGGTGGCACTAGCAGAATGCACCTACTAACTTTGGTGCTATCACTTCCAGAAAAACACGAGATCCAAACCACTTACAACCAATGTAAATAACACGAGTGTCATTTTAAAGAAAACCTGCAAATTCTCTTTCATTAATCCACCACCAAAAATAAATTGCACACACGCATTCTCTGCTACAGTACTTTATTACATTTACCTCGAACATCACTGTCCCCTTCCCTTTCCTGTTTTTTAAACACCTTCAAACTCAAAGAAAATTATATATCAATTAGGACCTTGCTCAAAATCAAAACATCGGTTTAACAAAACAAACCTGGTTTCGACCAAGAGAAAAAAGATCTAAATTACTTTCGTATAAAAATAAATTCATATATTTTTATATCTAGGTTTTTTTATGGTGCAAAATTCAGGTAATTAGCCAACATAGGTAAAGTCAAGTATAAACAGCCCTCAACCAATATTTTAATGTTAATTGCAGTATCTGCCTTTCTCAGGGTGTCAAAATAAACACGTTTTATTTAAATGAAGTACAAAAGTAGCTTTCTGTTCTTTCTTTGCTGTATCTTTCTCAGATTCAATCATTTCCATTCATAATAATGTAACAAGATAAATGATCTTTAATTCTTATTCAGCAAAGTTTATAGATGAACAATGTACTATGAATCAGGTCAAAACTACATTCCATAATTATTAAAATATTAACTCAAACTTCTACTGCCCAGTTTTCTAACCTTAAAGATTATAATAAACTAATCGTTCAGTGCATATCACATAAAGTTGTGCGGACTCATTAAAAAACCTTTCTTTTTTTTAAAAACATTTGGGAAGACTTGCTAATTATTTTTTGTTTTAGACAACACCTATATTTGAAGAGTTTCTTTCCAAAGCGCGTATGTATCTGCATGTATCTCTCTTGAAATAGGACTGGTTTAAAAGTGTTGACATATACTGTCTAATGTGGGCCAAATAACATGCACAAGAGGCTTCAGTGTTTGGGTTGCCTGGTGGTCAGGGGTGAGACTGGCAGAAAATGAACAATCCATGGAATAATCGGCAGAGGGTTTGAGGTCCCCAGAGCAATGAAGGGTCTCTTGTATGTGTTCATATTCGCCAAAAGACACCCATTAAAACATCCATATCTTTTGCTTTATATATATGGTAAAACCTCAGGAATTCAAGATTTCAAAAGGGATTCTTTAAAAATCCTGAAATCAGGACAAATCCTGACAAATCTCACCCCTGCTTGGTTGCCTGTCGGCATTATGTCATGGGGCACATGGACTACAAACAATTCCATCAAACTCTATGCCATATGAACAGTTTATCTGAAAGTTGCGTTTTGCAAAAAACAATTAATAACTATGCAGTCAAGATTTTTGACATTGCAAACAACCAATCAAATTTCATGATGTATTCATAACTGGTTATTTTTATCGCACTGAATCTGGAAAAGGGTAAAACAATTAATAACTATGCAGTCAAGATTTTCGACATTGCAAACAACCAATCAAATTTCATGATGTATTCATAACTGGTTACTTTTATCTCACTGAATCTGGAAAAGGGTAATTTGCTATTTGTTCTCGATTTCCCAATGCTAAGGAATGTAATGCGCCCACAAATTGAGTCATGTAGGAAACACTACCTGTTCAGAAATACACTACATGTATTCTAATATACAGATATGATGGCTGGGTAGCCAGTTGCAGTGAGGGGGAAGCAACATCTGTTAGTAGCATTGCGAATATTTTAACTCTAGCTCGTGTGTACAGAGACTGATGACTCCGTAGTAATAGGCCTACTCAATTGTTTGTTGTTCTTACTGAGCGAGTTTCTCCTTCAGCATGTTCTCAAGTTTGATGGCATCGGCAGCAAAGTTGCGGATTCCATCCGAGAGTTTCTCCACAGCCATCTGATCCTCGTTGTGCAGCCAGCGGAACTGCTGCTCACCAAGGGATACCTTTTCCATCGTCAGTTCTTCCGCTAGTAATGAAGAAAATTAAGTTACATGGGTTTTTTTTCCTTATAAAGGTAAAATGGTTCGCTTGCCAGTGCTGTTGAAGAATGTTTGGCAAAGGTCAGTGCTGATTTGTCAATTTCTGTTCAAAGTAGCACAATATGTCATAGCACCAGAAGAGCAAATCAACACATTTTCTTTGCTTAATTAATATTTTCAGTTAAAACAAAAAACAAAGAAACACACAAAATAATGCAGTGGGGCATCAAAATATATTCATAAATACCTAAGACAGTTTACCCATTCCTATTGGTCAAGAGCCTGTCTCATGGGTGGTTTTAAACTGTTGATAAAACACAGACTGGCTGGTCTTAAACACTTTTCCGGTGTCACATCAAATTTGGACTCCTGTGAAATGTTTTACCCTTTTATTGATTGAACATTCACAATCTTCACTTAGGCATGCACAATAGTACCAATGAGGCACATACCATAACTAGAGGGGTGTTTCAAATGACATGAAGTAAAATTGTTGAACAAAATCTTTGGAATTTTATAATTTTTGACTTGTTTTGACTTTTTGACTCGAAGGTATTTATGAATGGGAATAAATATGTGCTAAACAAGTACGTTTAAAATCGGCTCAGGGGCCTGGTCTCCGATAATGTTCCGAGCAAAGGGCGTCCAGGCCCCTGAGCCAGTTTTAAACGTACTTCTTTAAAACCGAGCAAGCACATATTTATTCCCTCACTAAATGCATAGTAGAAATCCAATGGGTCATATCCTCTGAAGCTAAGATGTCCATAGAAGGAAAAGGTTCAACAAGGACAATATGTAACTTAGCATGGACAAATGTTTCGATTGATAGGGGGAAAAGATGAAAAACCTCCTGAGAAATTTCTCAAAAAAATCTAACTTTGAAAGACAGGAAACTTCCAACCTGAATCAGGTGACAGCTTCCGAGGCAGTGGAGCGTTGGTCGTCTTTAACTCTTCCAGCAGCTTAGGACTAAAGAGAAAAATAACACGAAAAAGTATTACCTTCATCAGCAGAAACATACCTAAGTGCTGACTGGGACCAAAATGAGTCGCAAACCTTGCCTACCTGATAGTGATGTTATCCACACCGGCCAGCTCGGTAATTTCACCAATGTTGCGGAATGAAGCCCCCATCACCACTGTCTTGTAGCCAAACTTCTTGTAGTAGTTATATATCTTCTTAACGCTGACTACACCTATGAAAAAAAAGAAGAATTTTCTTCAATATGTAATCAGTCAAGCAAGTCAATAAAACGTATAAGTAAATTTGATGAGTAAACATTTCAAACCAAAAAGTCTTCTTGAAAATGTCCAAATCATGTTAAACTCTCAGGTTTTTCGTATTCAAAGGGTGTCATATCTCAATCTAAATCTGGGCCCAAATTTATGACACTAGGGGCCATTCTGTACAAAAACATGTCGAACTTTGTCAAATTTTGATTTTCACATTTAGGCTTAGTTTGTAGTTTATTTTTGCTTTAGAAGCATACTTACCCTCTTTTTAGGCTAATCAGAAAGTGCTGCCTTTTCAGGTGTCTATTTTTCGTGAAATTTCCAGATTCGTTTGCACACGTTTGCATATCAAAATTTCAACATGAAATTTTACGAAAAATAGACATCTGAAAAAGGCAGCACTTTCTAATTAGCCTATAAAGGGGGTGAGTATGCTTCTAAAGCAAAAATAAACTACAAACTAAGCCTAAATGTGAAAATCAAAATTTGACAAAGTTCGACATGTTTTTGTATATGGTGGCAGTGTGGCCTTTATTTACGGAGGCAGTCCAGTAAATTGGCCACATTTATGGGGCTATTTCTGGATGAGGTGGATGACATGTGGCATTCGAGGTTGTGCCTGTCACGTGAGGTAGCTGAGAAAAACATTCCCTCGGCCCCCCGCCCTGTTTGCAGGGCGGGGGTACGAGCGAAAGAACAACATCAGGTTTGGGCAGTCATCACATCACAGGCTGCGGTCCTCGTAGTCTTGGAGTCCAGTGGTTGAATAGTCCAGTTTTTTATAGCGATTGGTAATCGACACCTGCGGCGTGTTATAGAGCCGATCTAGTACACCTGGTACCCTGCTGCCTCTGCACAGCCTAACCGCTAGAAACGCCCGGCATCCAAGTCGGAAAGATTTCCATATAAGAAATTCACTAATTTTCCTCTGTATTGACTAACAAGCCCCCAGATAGCAATTTCATGTCATCAAAGTCAATTTGAGCAGTGAGAAAACACTTAGAATTTTTCAGTCCAATCTCATGGGGTTTGTACACAGGGTGTTGAGTGAACTTCGTATATATGGAAATCTTTCCTCCAACTTTACTGAAAAACCACCTCCCTTTCATGCCACAGTGGGTCTATACACGTACATGACGTACATGTACATGTACAGTACACACAGGGGACCAAGTTGGAAAAGAAACACGCATCGCGATATCGGAACGCTTGCGCGTTGTTCAGGCAAGTCAAAAGATCTATCTTTCTTTGTTTTTTTTAATCTTTTTTCCATGGAAACTGAATTTCGATTTTCAATTATTTAGCTTGACCCACCCACCCACAATTTGGAAAAAAGATCGAAATTTTAAAACATTAAAAATTCTGAATGGCCCCCTATTTCCCGTAAGCGAAAAATCCCCACAAAGGCTGCGCTTCTTCAGTTTTGATGAGGCAATGAAAGTGTTGTGTGAAAAACATAAAAAAGTAAACTGCCCCTAATGGCCTACAGTTGGAGATGAGTAAATAGGCCCAAAATTGCCTACGCTGACCAAGTCATTTCTCTCTTTGTACAGAGTTTTGTAGGGTTTGTAGCAATGAAGGGTGCAAGCTCTGAAACCGTCTTTGAGCTGGAATTTTGTGAGAAATTTGGGATGACACTGGACCTGAAATTTTCTCTATTTTGCTATGGAGTAGAGAGATCATTATTGAAATGGTGCTGAGTTCAGGACTATAAGGGAGTGATCATCTTTAAGGGAAAAAAACACTCAGAAGTCATTGGTTAGTCCCTGCCACCGCACCCCCCACCCAAAAAAACCAAGCAAAGAACAGAAAGTGTAACATGAAACATCAAGCTTAACACTCTGAAAAGTAATTTTTTTCTATATTTTCCGGAAGTGAGGGCATTTATCACTGTGTGTTGGCAATGCATTTACTGGTCTGCACCCAAATATACTTACAGGGAGTATAAAAAAACCTTATGCCTAGGGCTATGGGTGAGCTTAATCCAGCCCTGATCCATACAAACTATAGAGGTTACCATGGGTTAGCAAGGATTTATGGTTTGTGTACATGCAATACATCATGTAACTGAGGATTGTTACTCAATGGATCAAGCACAGCATCTCTTTACCAGTGCTGCTATCGCACACAATAGTGATCATAAGCAAACAATACCATGGAAAGCATAGCCATGAGAACAGGCCCAGAAATTAGTTCCAAGTGCACTTATAATTATGACCACAATTCAAGTGTAAATGTCACATTTAAACTTTTACTGAGGCAAAATCAAACCAGGTTTTTGTAATCAGCCCAAGATACCAATACAGATGAAACCTCCCCAGACCTATCTGATCACCTACCTGGATCCTCTGCAGATTCATAGCCAGCCTTGCCGGTTTTGGCTTTGTACCAGTCCAAGATACGACCCACAAACGGTGAAATCAGAGTCACTCCAGCCTCTGCACATGCAACAGCCTGCAGCAACAGATGACAGAAGTAGCAAAGAAAATGGAAAAGAGAAATGTAGTATATTTTATAAGAAAGTAGTATATTTTCTGACTTTGCATTAGTTTTGGTTTAAGACACAAAATTTATAACTAAATTACAGATTCTGGTTTAAACCAATTTTGGAGATAAAGTGAAGATCAAGATGAAAGTTGAATTGGAAAAAAAAGTGAACACATTGAATCCAAACTAATAAATGAAAGACCAGATTTTTTAGGAAAACATTGGGTTTGATTGTTAGCCCATCTTACCTGAGCAAAGGAGAAGAGAAGGGTGAGGTTACAGTGGATGCCATAGTCCTTCTCCAGCTGCCTACGGTTGTCATGGAAACAAAGAAATGATCAAGAAGTAAAGAAGTGAATATACTACTCGGACTGGGAATGGATTTATTCATATTTAGCCTAACCGTGCTAAATCCAACATTGTAATGAATCTAAACTGTATCTTGGAATCTAAGATAAAACATTCCGATGCATGTCAAGTTGTCTGCCTTCATCGATGGTTCATACTGATTTGAATCATTACTTTAACCTTATTCACCTAACACATTAACTGACAAATGAAATATGCAAAGAAGCCATTGTTGGCATTAAGCTGACCAAGTAAGTCAAACCTGCCCCTGAGACCTTGTGTGAAAACTAAGACCCAGTTGTGAAAACTGGAGACAAATATGAGAACAAATATACATAAGCCTACTTTCATTGAAAACCAGGAGTTATAAATATGGCCATAAATCCAGGCAATTAGCTTTAAATCTGGACTCTTTGCATCTCTGAGTATTTCTGTATTCACCTGGCAGCTTGGATGCCCTCCCATGTTGAACTCAGCTTGATGAGGATTCGTTCTTTACCAATGCCCTGATCTTCATACAATGCAATCAACTTCTTTGCCTTAGCAATCTGAGCATCGATGTCAAACGACAGACTGAAAGAAAAGTTGCAAAGCTTTGTGATATGGACTTGTTACATTATTTTTACATTCATTTCATTGTATTTATTTGCTACCTTGATGATTTACATGATACAGTGTGAAATAATTGTACTCGCATTCAGCAGAATGTTGAACATCATAATAAACATCATAAAGAATTTGCTTTAGTCAAGCCCAATGTTCATGAACATTGCACAGTGCCTGCAACCACTCACATTCTGAATGCATACCCCAAAAAAAAGAAGTATACAATGTGTGCTATTCCGTATTTGGTGGAGCGAATATATGTACAATAGCAAAATGCTGTTCTGCAAAGGCTGGATGGAGATCACCACATTTTAACAACCACAGGGCAAGTAATGTACATAACAGACACAACAACATGTATAGCAGATTCCTTTAATTGCTTGATTACAATTAGATTGTTTTTTTTTTAGTGAATTCAATCCCAGAAAACGAATAAATGTTTCATTTCCAAAAAAAATTGGCCTTCTGTTGTGATTTAATCCATGATGAGCTTTTACTCCACAATAGTGAAGGTAGACCTCTGTGTATGATCAAACTATACCAGTGCATCAATTCACGTGAACTCAAATCTCCCTTGTGTATAGTTCAATTTTATGAATCACAACTGTGAACCTCCTTAGACATGGCAACTCACCGTGCATCTACCTCTGTGGAGACCCTTCCTGGGACTATCTTCAGGATTTCCACTCCAAAATTGACAAAGAGCTTGTCCATGGTGGCTGTGACCTGCTCTTTGAGGGTGCTGTGAATAAACACGTAATCATGTCACATCATGCAAGCATGTACTGGTACTTGACAAATTATATAGGACTAGCAACGTATCTGACAATTAAATCAATTTTCTCCAGGTGAAATTTCTGGTTAGTTACAATGCATGTCTTTAAATAAAACATTTCCTCAAATGGGATACAGCTGAAACAAATGATAGTTTTTTCTGTAATTGCTTACTAATTGACAAATGTTTTCACATATTTTTCAAATTCTCTCATCAGTTTGAAGCATTGCACAAAAATCTTGTGCGGTTACATTATGTTTAGTTACGTCACAGTTTGTCCTACCATCATTGGTACTAGTTAAAATATATATGAAACTAATAATCAAAAATCAAATTTTTTATGGCACAGAATATGACCCCTTTTGCCTTAAAAAACAGAAACTCGCACAACATCTGTATTTTGCATGTGAAAACATACCCCCAATAAACCCAATTTGATTTTTTTGAGGGGGACACGAACATTACACTTAACAATATTACTACACTTAACAAAAATGAAAGGTCTTGTTGTCCCCTTTAATTTGATACCACATTTGAGGCTGTGGTGCATGTACTTGTAGTTGTGAGGATTTCATAAATTTTCCACTTTTCAGCCATGTCGACTTTCTCATGAAATTACCCAAAAGATGTTTTCCATTTTTTTTAAACCTACGACAGCACTCTACGTTATTGGACTGGGTATATCACCTAGCATTGCTCTTGCCATAGTTGACTGCATCTTCAATCAGATGATTGTATTTCTCAATCTTTGCAGCTGCCAGGAGGAGAGAGGGGTTGGTGGTAGCATCTGTCGGCTTGTATTGGTTGATTACTGCAAAGCAAACGACCATATTACATTAGTTTATATTATTAGGTTTTCGTCAAAGCTTGAATTTTAATGACAGCACATTCACATTTGTTTTAATCATTCCTTGATCTGTTCACAGTAATATTGTGAATCAACTGTGCTGGTGTAGGCTTACATGTACTAAGAAGGATGTGACGTTTACACGTGTAAACGAAAAAAAAATCAAATCCGTTTAGAAATTTTCCCAAACGTTTAAACGGAACTCAAATTTCAAAAATGGGACCTTGTATTTTGCGCAATCTACCCTCCAGTTTTATTTACAAAGAATCTACGATGTTTATTTTGTTTAACTAATAAAGAATTAGAAACGCATTTTATAGTTGATCACGTTCCAAGAAGTTTTATTAATACATTGTTCCATGATCAGCAACTGTTTTGTGTCAAATTGATACACAGTGTATACAATTGGTTGTGTTTGATTTTTTCAATACGCCGCTGGGCCGAGATCGATGCCGGGCGGGGATGTCGCCTCTCCTAAGGTTATTCTGATTAAAATACCGAATTTTAAAACAATTCCGAGTCTGTCTTTTTTCTGTATTTTTCTCTGAATGTGCTTGTATTTGCTGAAATCATCACTTGGTTGTGTGCAGTAATCAAACCAATGGCTAGCACTTTCATAATGATTTTAAAACCGGCGAGGAAAAAAGTTTACCCTGCTCCCCCCGTAAGCTACTCAAGTGAAGGCGTTATTTAAAACGATGTATTTTGATGCATTGGGATTATTTCCCCCCCCCCCCCCAAGTGCTGTAAAGTCCGCCGCTCCCTTAAAAAAAATTACTGCCGCTTCCGTAACAAGGAAATCGATGACGATGATCCAGAATGTGTTTGGTGTTGGCGGGGGTAAAATAAATACTATTTTTTTGGATCTTAGGGCGGGAGCTGAGGGGCGGTGGCATATTACGGGATCTATTATAGGAAGGAAATTGCGTTTTTTTAAAGAGCGATATCAACGTAGATTATTTGCTCGTTTTACGCAAAAGTGCACCCCTCCCCCATGAAAATATATTGTGATACGTAAAAAAAAAATCTACCTCTGTAGGAACATTATTAAATGTTGCTATCATTGGCAGAAAAACCTTCCTGTATATAAAAATCGAAAAATAAAATTGTTGGATATTTATTATTTTTTTTAACATTTAAATTTGGTTGCCTGACGACCAAAGGATGCATGTAGAACGTAAAATACAGACCCATTGGTAAGGGCACTTTTTTAAAATTCTTGTCAGTTAACATTTTCCCCAACGGCAAGTAATGGTAACGCAGTCGTCAAAAAAAGGCCCCTGTCAAAATGGTTTAGAATAAAATCTGGACAAGCAATACTGGCCTTACTGTTCTTCAGTCCAGTTTTAAAAAAGACGTACATTCAATTAATTATTTGGAATATCAACCCCCTGAATAAAAACCAACAACAAAAAAAGAAAATACATTTATTTATCATTTATTCATGTACATGTACACGATACAGGCCTTTACAGGGGTGAAATTCCATGTTTATTTCAGTTTCCCTCACTTTTCGTATAAACTTTTCCCCGGGCTTTGGAAAATAAATGCCCAAATAAAATCCAGCTCCGAAAAAGCCCTTCCAGAGAATGATTGACAGCGGCATTGTTCAAATTGATACAATGCCGCTCTCGTTGTTACAAAGTATATGCGGTTGGGTTCAGCTGTAGGCCATCAAACTTTAAATCCTTTGATGACTTGCCGCCAGTAATTGGAAGATTCTTAGATGATAAACAGCGATGATAGTATCTCAGCCAATGAAATGAGCCGGTTCCCGGCAAATAAATACGCCATTGGTTGCTTTCATCACGGGTCCGTCTGCTTTCATGAATATGACCTTCCTTCCACCAAGCGCAACTTCAGGTTGCCTAGAAATAATGTTGCTAGGAGGCTCCCCTGTGATGCCTGGGCTGGGACTGCCGGTTGCGTAGCAAGAAATCATATGTGACTATTTTTCTGGCAGCCTGCAGATAACTAGCAGCTCAAGAATGCTGCCGCTTTTGGGAAATTTGTGCAGGCAAAGTTTTTCATATTTTGGAATTTGGATGCAGTTTGCATTCCGTTAAATAAAAGGTGTGTTTTTTTTTTAAAAGAAAATTGGGGCTTAAAAAATATAAATAAACGATCTTCCTCAGGCCTTGACATTTCTTGAGTGTATGTTCATTTGATTCGACAACACTTGCAGAATGCAGACGATTCTTTTCTTCTTAATTTATTTAGCCTGCAGACTTCAAAAGAACATGGGAAAAAAGGTGGTTAAAGTCACAATAAAGTGTATACAAGTGTATATAAATGTGACCGCAGTTATGGCACATTATACTGGGACACAGGCGGCAATCTTTTTGAAGTCTTGACTAAACGTTTAAACGTTTAAACGCTACGGGAAAATTTTGCTAAACGTTTATCAAATTAAATGTAGATTCACATCCTTACTAACATGTACCTGAACCATCACAAGGTGTATTAAGGTCCCAGTCGATAATCTAACTCCTAACATTTCTCCATAAAAATTTAGATTGAGAATATCCTTTAAAGGTGCAAGGCCTGATTTATAGTATCCACGGGTAAATAAACAAAATTGCCAACCCTGCAAGAACCAATAAAAACTGATGTCACTCAGCCCTGAGCTATACAAAAGCGATTTACTCTTGAATAAGAAATCGACCTCCAACACCCACCCCCCCCCTCAAAAAGAAAAAAATAATAAATAAATTGAAAGATATACACGAAAACGTTTTGCGGATGATAAGCCAGAAATATCTGTCTGTGACCCACTTGCAGTTAGCAAGCCCAGAAATATCAGGGTGTACGACCGGCAGATGATGGCCTGAACCCATCTGGCATCAAGGTTCATGAAAAACAATCCCATACCTGGGTCCGGTCACTGTCAAAATAATCCCGGCGCGAACTGGTTAACCCTAACCTTCCCACTCCAAAAATCCATTCCCATTTAGGTGGATTTTGGGAGACTTGTTGGTCCTGCAGGCCTGGTTTGAATAAATATTGATGGAGTAATGATGGACTTGGGCCTGCACCCGATTTCACGAAGCGCTGCGACGCGTCGCAACTCGAGTTACGACGTGTAATACGTCGCAACTCGCGACGCGTCGTATCATCCATTTCACGAAAGTTGCGATGTGTTGAACGCGTCGTAAGTTCCTTGACAACGGCTTAAAAACAAGCAAGTTACGACGTGTCTAGTGGTCATCGCAAAATAAGAAGAGTCCCTTTCTTAGCCAGTTTCATGCCATAAACATTACAAAAACGACATTATATTACCAAGGCAATGTGTGTAAAGTTGTAAATAGAAAGTTCATTAAATAATTATGAATTACACTGGAATATTGCAGTTGAAATTTCAAAGTAGCTATACAGTCCACTGAGAGCTTGTTTTCCTTCAAAATTGCATCGCACGGCCGCCATTTTGTTTAACGTTTTAACAAATTTCAAGCTGAGATCCGACGACTCTTTGTTGAATATCAGACGACTATTTACTGTACGCTGACTAAAGACATAAAACAGTCACCGAGTTGTGCTATAAATACACCTACGACGCGTCGCACTTACGACTTGTTTAGTGAAATGGATCGCAGGACGCGTTGCAGCTGCGACGCCTCGTAGAAATACGACGCGTCGCAGCGCTGCGATGCATCGTAAGTTACGAAGAGTTTGATGAAATCGGGTGCAGGAGGCCTAAAGCAAAGCCTGCATTAGAAGCAATATGATTGATGGATTTTGGCAGACTTGGTCCAGTACTACCTGTAAGTAAAAGACAGTAGGGAGTTAGGGTTAAGGAGTGTTTTATAATTTAGTTTGACCTTCCGTCGGGATCATTAGGACAAAGGTTTACTTTTCAGATGCTGTACAGTACACATACTTTTCGAATACAAAAAATGGAGTGTACTGTGTATCATCATAGCACATACCGTACACACACACAAAATGGAGTGTACTGTGTATCATCATAGCACATACAGTACACACACACACAAATGGAGTGTACCGTGTATCATCATAGCACATACAGTACACACACACAAAAATGGAGTGTACCGTGTATCATCATAGCACATACAGTACACACACACACACACACACATGGAGTGTACTGTGTATCATCATAGCACATACCGTACACACACACAAAAATGGCGTGTACTGTGTATCATCATAGCACATACAGTACACACACACAAAAATGGAGTGTACTGTGTATCATCATAGCACATACAGTACACACACACAAAAATGGCGTGTACTGTGTATCATCATAGCACATACAGTACACACACACAAAAATGGCGTGTACTGTGTATCATCATAGCACATACAGTACACAAACACAAAAATGGCGTGTACTGTGTATCATCATAGCACATACAGTACACACACACAAAAATGGAGTGTACTGTGTATCATCATAGCACATGCCGTATACACATGCATGTATGTACCGGTATGTATTCAGGGAATGACTATGAGAGCTCTCTTGTTAAGTTGATCATAGTTCGTTTGTATTCAGGAAACCCCACAAGGTCTGAATACGCTCACGGAAGTCAACAAAGTGACAAAATACTGCATCAAGGAAGTTCACCTAGTGCATCAATATGCCTTTTCACCTGTCAACATGATTCCATGTATACATGTAGTGCAGAAAAAAATGAATTTAAAGGTATAGTCCATCATTTGTAATTTGTGCATTTTGTTCGTTTGCAGCAACAAACGTGCTCAAAATCTAAAGAAGGGTATTGACAACTAACCTGATGAATTTTTAGCCCAGCTTCAGCTGTGTATTCCGAGAAAAACAGCATTCTAGGATCTTGATTTCAAATCAAAATTTGCTGAATCATGTTTTGAATTGGGCCTGAATTCAGCGTCCGAGACACGTTCTCAATGAGCCGATTGCAGCTTCGCGATGTTGCGCACTGATCCGAAGAATTATAGCAACTGCGCGCACGTGTGCG